AGCCAAGTTTGCATATTTATATGACTTAGACTTTTTTATTTATAGATTAATTTATTTACATTATTGATTTATTTAATTCTTTTATATATCAGTTCATATTTATCTGTAAATGTTTGTTTATTTGTTTATTTACCCATCTATTTATTCATTGGTATCGTATTTATTTATTTGTCACATTTCTTTTGGCCGCTCTACGGTATGCTAACAAGCGGTTATGTATGCATAGCTTGGAGGCACACGAAACTGATTAAATTGGAATTTCGGAAGAGCTTTTCTTCCCTTTTACCAATTCGCATGCTCATCGAAAACTTTTATATTATTCTTTCTTTTGCAGAGGTAGAGAAAAAAAGTTGAAACTTCTTTCTTTCCTTCTTATCCATTTGTTGAGAATTTGAGAAATCAAACAGTCTTTTAAATGAAATATGGAATGGCGTTTTAAATGGAAATCTGAAAAAAGCAGAAAAGTTTTTTGATAAGAGACCAGAAAGAAATTGTGGAAGTGGATAGAGAATGGTAGCTTTCAAGTTGGATCATTTAGTAAGGGAAACCGAAAATTCAGTTGCATATTAATTTTGTTAGATATTTGCAAATGAATCAATTGTCAAAAAATAATTGGTTGTTTGTGACTTTAATGGTTAAATCTTAATAAATCTAGTTAAAAAAACTTGTGATGAATCAATTATATGAGAAGTAATTAACGTGAGTTGATGACACACTTGCTGGGAATTCCTCGCGCATGGAAAATAATTGCAGTTCCCGATCTCGATCATTTTCAAAGAATTACTAGCAACTTTTAGTAGTAGTTACAGCACGCTAATTCCGGACAATGTACGTGAAACCTTTGAGCATGTCGTATGCTCATATGTGTAAAATTATCACTGAATAATTAACATGAATAAAAATAGTGCAACTATTACGCAATACTAAATCATACGCTTAATGTATTTTAGCGCCTATAATCCAATCTTCTTGCGTATAATAACATGCGTCAAACAAATTTAAATAATAACTCGAAGTTATTTGATTGAAGAAATTAATAACTGAATGCAAATTTCACTTCACAGTGTCTCATTCGATCCACGTCAAGTACTTTTTTCCTAACTGCCTAATTTACGAATTTAATTTTAACCACTTCAAGTGTCACTATTTATTTACTTACTTTGAATTATTCTTTCAATGGCGCTATTTTCAATTTTTCATTAGCATTACTTTATTGAAATCTTAAGAATATCAATGTGAAGTTTTTTTTGCTATTTCTTTGAGATATATTAACTAAAATATGTACGACTTATTGCATTTACTTCAATTAATTTGTTAAATCGTCTAACTAAGTTGCAAATGTAATTATTTCTTAATTGGTGATTCATAATGAATTGAATCTCTTGGTTACTTCCATACAAACAAAATCTTCAGTTCTTTAGACAAGCTGTGGGAAACCCGAAACTAAATTAAATTATTTATATTTTTAGCAAACCATGTTAATCATTTATTTCTTATAATTATAAATCAAATTCCTTAATGATTCATAAATTGTAATGTGTTAACGCATTCCTATGCTAATCTGATATGTCATCTAAACACTTCCCGTCTTATAAGCCAAATTAATTCTAATCTAATGATTAATCTTGTAATACACATCCGTTCCCATCTTTATTCGTTATATCATCACCTTATTCCTTCTGTAAAAACTATCTTTCTCATAGCTATCTTGTAATCAACCATTTTATCAATCATTTTATATCATTACGTCCAAATAAACAGTCCTTTAAAAAGACACCATGATCCACACGGGAGTTCCTCAGTTTCTCGGTTCCTTAGTTCCTCAATTTCTCGGTTCCTCAGTTTCTCAGTTTCTCGGTTCCTCAGTTCCTCAGTTCCACACTTGGTTGATCTTAACTCAACTTCATTTCGTCTCGACTGTTGTATTATTCACTGTGTTTGTCAATAATAAAGAATCTCAAGAAATCCCTTTGTTTATGACGTTAAAGGGAAATCCCATTCCCGCGCATCAAATCCAAACCCGAACCGAGTCAAACTCTCAATCAAATCAATCAAAACAACCCACATCGACTCAAAGCAATCAATCGATTCAAGCTAAACCAAATCAATCCAAACCAAATTCCACAACACAAACTAGAATTTTCCTTTTATAAAATTTAAGCAATGTGCAAATGAAAAAAAAATTTCTGATATGCTGGAATGGAATAAGTTAATTTATTTAATTCTGGCAAAGAAAATAAAGTCTGCCACATAAAACGACTGAGAAACACCAATTATATTAATTAGTAAATTATTGCTTCGCTTCCTTTCTTTATGGTTTAAAATAATTTATCACAAAATCTTATTTTTTTTAGTCTTCAAAATGTAGGTCAGCTGAGGAAATGATTTGATTTTTAAATATCATTTTTATGATATGTATTAATTTCATAAATATTTAGTTCAAGAATTGATTTCCATTAAGATCTTAGATACAATTATTTTTTTTGAGCGAGAAAAAAAAGCCAGAAATTATGATGAAATTGATATTTATGCATAAAATGTACAAAAATATTTTTAGCAGAAAATTTAGCATATCTGTTAAATTTATATTCATTTACATTATAGTATCCAGAAATATTAAACAAATTATGCCTCGTACTTATAATGTATGTTACTCGAAGTGCACAAAAGTAAAATAATAAATACAGTAATATTTTTAATTTTCGACTGCATTGTTAACGATCTATTATAGAGAATAATAAAAAATATGATTAATTGTTATTTCATTCTTATCAAAGACATATTTATAGATAAACTAAAGAAAGATAGATGAATTCTCTCCTAACATCATCCAGTTATCAACTTTAGAAATCAAAAATTAATTAGTTTCAAATTTTTTGTTAGCAAATTATAAATTGCTTGAATATATCCTATAAGTAGTTAAATTCATTGTTTAGTTTTTTATAAGTTGGTTACTAATTAAGTGAAAATTTCAACAAATTTTAAAGAACGAAGTTGAGAATAGACGGAACGAATTTGACGGCCAATATTACGAGCCCTCTGCAGAAAGGCACCACTTAAATAATATTTGACAAAAAAAATAATAAAACATATTGCTTGAAAAAGAAGAAAATCGAACAGTTCAAAGATGTAAAATTTAATTTTAAACGATGCGTAGAAAAATAAGAAAATCAAATGTTAGCGTTGATTAAAAGACAAAACAGTTACAGATAATAGATCATCAGGAATGCATATTATACATTTATGATGCGAGATGCTGTGCAGATTTCCGGAATGATGAGAAAATTCCGGCGCGGTGTTGTGAACGACGCGTTGGACGAGTTTTGGATATTGATGACGCTATCCGCTCTCTGCAAACAGTTCCATTCTGCGAAATTTCTGCACTTTGAGCTCTTTCTGAAAACTGACAATTGTTCGAGAAATAAATCTGATCATTTCCGTCTTATTTTATATGTATTCAAGTCACATCATAATTGAAGTAGCTACTATTTATAATCGATGGATGAAAATTCGTTCTTTTTCATCATCTTGCAAATTTCATTTTTTAGGAACTGTTATATCGAATATAGGAAATGACTTGGCCTGAATTTCAACGAGCAAAAAAGCACTAACCTCTTGGCTGCCTATTTTCAATAGAAATTCTATCGGTATTTTTAGGTTTATCAATAGATGCAGGTCGATAAATCGATCGAGATGTATCATAATCGGTATCACTGCATTCCGCTTGCGCAATCGGTGCTTTTGCTTCTATTATCGGTTGCTTTACAGTACGTATGGCATTATTGGAGGATGATCGACGAACAGCAGATGATAAACGACCATTTGTAGTGACAGCTTGTCCATTCGTATTCGTTAGCGGTGTTGTCGTTGTTGTTGTATCTTGCGATCTAAATTTCGGATAAAAATTTCGTGATTCACATAAACTTATTTTAATTTAGTGCATAAAAATTATAGCAATGTAATTAATAAACTTAAAAAATTGAAATTCAAAATAATTTTCAACTTTCCCACAGTTAGTTTTTACTTTAGGAACAGTAGTTATCTTTTTCTTTTCATTCATTTATTCTATCGCTATTTTTCCTATTTCTCTCTTTATCTAACTCTCTCTCATCACTTAATCTTTAGCTTGACATGCCATATTTCATTCATTTCAAACGAAAATTTATCTAACCTTTTGTTTACTATTTACTTAATAGTTCGTTTACCTGTTACTTTGATACAATTAACTTTTCACCTGCTGTTATTTCGATTGTGTTGTATCCGTTTCACATATGTATTATCTTGCTGAATCATTTCATATAACTTATTCCTATAATCGTCTATGCTTAGCTGAATATGATCCGGTAATGGTAGAAGGACATCGTAATTTAATGCCGGTTCATCCATCGGTGAATGAAATTGCAGAACATATGGATGGACCAAACATTGATCGACATTGAGACGTTTATGTGGAGCAAATATTAGTAATCTGAAATAACATAATATAATACCGGAATATAAAGACTGATGCTTGTTTTTGATTAGTTTACCATTTCCTGTTATTTTCGTTATTTATGAAAGTATAAAAATCTATTATACTTGTCAAAAAGTATAAAAAAGTATACTCAAAAAGCATAAATAAAGTTCTCTTCATATTAGGTATTTTGTTTTTGTTTATAATAAATTATTTTGATGATTTCATATTAAATGGTGTAATGTTCTGACATTTTACGCTTTTTTCTCTGAAACTTTCATTTTATTTACTGGATTTCTTTCAGTACCTTTTATATTATCCTTTTTTTGCCAAGAAAATAAATTTTAACCTTTGAACTAAATCAATAGCGTGAGGGTCTGAATTCGTCAAATACAATTCCAATGGTTTTTGTGGCCTCCGCGGCATCTTCTCTAACACGGATGATGCATATTGTGACCCGATACTTTCGATATCCGACTAAAATTTATTATGATAATTCATCCTTAATGTGACCTTTTTTTTTGGGGCTTCAGAAGCTGACTGTATGCCCTCCGTCATCTTTGTCAACACTTCTTCCAGTTCTGGTAAGGTTGTAAGATAGTAATGGGTTATGCAAATTACAAATAAAATGTCGACTAAAAATAGAATTCGAAACAGGAACTCACATCCTAAATTTTCAACAAACTGGCAGTGCTGCAAGGCTTTTCTTTTTTTCTTATTTTCACTAAATATTGAAAAACTTTCTTTTAGGTTTTTTTAAAATTTGTGTTGATAAATTGGATAACTGACAAAAAATACAACAGTTACAAAATGTAATGAAAAGCTTTTTTTTCTTTGCTTAATTTTTTACTAAAATTTTTCTAAATGAATGAAAGTGAACCTTTGACGGCCGCGGTATGGTATTCATAATTCGTTCAATTTGATTGATAGTTGAAGTACCAGGAAAAAGCGCATGGCCAAGAAGCATTTCGGCAAGAATACAGCCTAAGCTCCACATATCAACACCTTTCGTGTAACTTTTTGCCGCCAATAAAATTTCAGGCGAACGATACCATCGCGTCGCAACGTATTCCTAAAATTATGTTCTTTTCTATCTAAATAATATTTTCGCATTTAAATTCCACAATTCCTGGCAGTGACTTGGCTATTTTTAGAATTAGGCTATTATCGAATCATAATCGTCAAATCGTTCGGTTTGAATAAATTAGATGCAATATCACGAAGATTAAAATATTGAATATGTGAAAGGTTATGAATATTAAACCATCTCACTAATTTTGAAAATTTCAAGATATGAAAAAGGATAAGTTTCAAATTTTAAATTGGACATTACCGTTAATTCTGGCATATTCTGTCCCTCTGGATAGTCTTCGATTTGAGATAGAGATCTAGCCAAGCCAAAATCAGCTAACTTCACACGACAATCAGCATCCAATAATACATTTGAAGGTTTCAAATCACTGAATTTAAGTTTACCAATTGATTAGTAAGCAATTAGACAAGTAATTAATCTGGCAAATTTCATTCATTAATATGCCATATCGATAAAGCATATTGAAAGGAACACGTCATCCGTTAGATTGTACGGATGACGTGTTCTTTTCAATATTTTATAAAATATGAAACTACTAAAGCAGTTCTCCTCATACAATCTAGAATAATCATTAAATTTCGTCTTTTTTTGAACTTTATCATTTTTCATTTTATTTTGTAAAAATTATTGCATCAATGCAAAATGTTAATTTCTCTGAATTAAATTTAGAAATCTTCAAAAGATTCAACAAATATCTGTCGAAGAAAACTTATCAATTATTTATAATCGGAATTATTTATTATACTTTAATTATTTGCAAGTGTTGATAATAATCAACTTTATAACAACAAATTCTAAAATCTTCTGTTATCAAAAGAATAACATGTTGATATTAATATACTCATAATTAGATTACTAATTCAACACTTTCGATTATAGTTCAAAATCATGAAAATTCGCCAGACAATCATTTTATCTCGTTATTTAATTCTAAGCAGATAGATAATCATAGATTACTTCGATTGAGCAATTTTTAATTCGCATAAATTATAACGAGCTTTAAATTTTAGATAAAGTTATATGTTTGTAGATAAGCAAGTAGACAATAATGTAAATAATGTTTGACAGTTTCTTATTGTTCGAACAATTTTATCATTCATATTCATTTTTCATCCTACACTGTTTTATATTCCAGTAGTCTTATTAGGACAATCTGCTTAAAAATAAGCAGCAAAAATATTTATTTATGGTTTTTATCATTAAAAATATTTGTTTATTTGATTTTGTTCATTTAAAATGGGCAGTACTTTGGAGGTTATTTAAAGTATTTAAGTATGCTCAAATCTTTTAATTCTTCAGATATATTATAATAATTATTTTGTCTGAGATCTCTTCATTTTATTATTTCAGAAATCTTTTGCCTGCTAAGTTGGTTCAAAAGGTCAAACGCCATTAGCAATTTAACGCGTTGATAAAAATGTATTAGAATCCAAATATAATTTTTCATTGATAAATAAAATTTGATAAGTTTTTGGCACTTACTAGATACTAAAAATTAATCAATTTTTTTGAGACAAAAAATTAATATTTTATTGACAATTATTTGATATAAACAACTAACCGATGTAAAACATTTCCACTATGCAAGAATCGTACAGCTCGAAATAATTGACACATAATGTATTGCTTATGAATATCTTTGAGAATCGTTAACTTCTTAATAACATTATGTAAATCAGCTTCCATAAATTCGAATACTAAATAAATATCCCTGAAATGTACAAAAGGCGAAATAAATATCTTTAAAACACACTTTCAATTGCAACTTTGTCATTTTAATAATTTTAATTACTCCAACTATGATTGCATATTCATCATGTACTGAAGCTAAGTACTAAAGCCTAAGGAGATTATAAGTTGAGATAATCGCCGAGAATATAGTGAGGCATCGATCATACTATCAGTACTTAACATCTGGTAACTATTACAAATATTACTTCTAAATTGTTTTTTTTAAACTACGTTTTTTCATTTTTAACTGCAATTATCAATTTTAAATTTTGGAATTAAACGCTGATGAATTCAAAAAGGAAATGATGTTTGCATTTATTCTTTTTTAAGTGCATGCATTATATTTTGCATGTTACATGCATTATTCAAATTGTCTGACAATTTGTGACCAATTGTTCAAAAAAAAATGTGCAAACAATAAATTATTTGAAAAATATTATTTGCATGAAATTTTTTGAGTTGAAATTCTCGGGAGAGAAACGGGAGAGAAAATATGAAGTTATACGTATGTTAGTAGCTAGGAAGAAAAAAGGAAAATATTCGAAAAACAAATTGTCTTCCATTTTTTGGAATTTCAAAATATTCAATAAATAACATAGACACTATGCTAATATATAGTATATTCCACCAAATGATTTTCTGTTTTTTCGTCAATAATTAATATATTTGTTGAAGGAACATTCATATGTTTCCACTAACTCAGTTAATGGAATAGGACGGGAAAAATATTTTTAATATTCGATATTTTGAAATTGCTTTCCGATGATAGGATGGATGATATTAATGACGCCATTGACCAAACATACCTGTTATTATCGGCTTTGAGAATATTGTACAGTTTAATGATGTTCGGATGTCGTCCGAATTCTTGTAAAAACATTACTTCCCGAAATGTTCGCTGTGCATCGGTTTGATTCCGAAAAGCATCGAAAATTTTCTTCAATGCTACCTTTTCACGTAATCGCCTGCAATTCTTTTATATCCCTCAGAACTAATTTTATTTTTAGTCGTATTTTGTAGTTTTTGTTAATTCAGAGTTTAAAAATTTTTTCTTAAATAAAAAATTTAAAACATGTTCATGAGAAATTCTGAAATGCGTTTTTGAAGTTACAACCAAATAAATAAAGCATAAATTACAAGAATAAATGTGAAAAAAAAGAAATGATTTACAAAAAAATTGTCGTTTAAGTTTGTTTTTATTTCATTCGGAAAAATTTAAATCCTTCTTTACTAAATGTTTTATAAAAATGAACGTTTTCCTTCTACTTGCAATTCCCAATAAAACCTTTTTTGTTCCTCATCCATCTTTTAAAATTTGACATTTAATAAAAGTGGTTAAAGGCGCTTTCCATGCAATAATTTACTGATGAAGGTAATTAATAAATTAAAAATAGTTTCACCTATCAATTGCTTTCCAAACGATTCCATAGGCTCCTTTACCGAGACGTTTTTGCAAATCGTACCGTTCAATGATATAAGTATCGACGTCTTCAGACATTGCATAAATTAATAATAGAAGACTTTCTCTATGACGCAAATAACGTATATCGTAGTATAAATTCTCGGAATGCAAATAGCAATTACACGTAAAATGTGAAACAGCGGTAGCAATAGTAGCAGTAGTAGTAAACGCTGTTGTCGTTGTTGTTGCTGTTATGATTACTGTTGTATTATTGAAATTCGGTGAAGTGGTACTATTTGTTTTATCGATATTGACTAAACGCCAGCGATTCCGTTCACGTTTTCGGCGTAAATTTTTTTCCGTTGAACAAGATGTGTGATAAGACTATTAAATTGGGCCAATATTACTCTTATAACTTGGAGAAAATGAATTTGCGTGAAATATACAATTTCTGGAAATGTTTGGTTGCTGCTTGAAGAGAGAAAAGAAGAGAGAGGGTGAGAGAAATGTAACCGAAATTTGTACGTGACAGCTATTCGTCCTTTTTTTCTTTTACTTCTCACTATTTGAGAGGGAAATTAGCCAGGAAAGAATCATAAAATGAAGAACAAAAAGCTTTTGGTTGACTGGTTGCTTTCGTTTTGTTGATGTCAAAATTTTAGGACATGAAAAAGACTGGTTGCTATTAAACAACTTTCAAGTTATTTTTGAATTGCTCTCCATAAGCTTTATAATGTGCATTAATCATTCTTGTTTCAGTGGATGATAACGGAAAGGATGGCAGCAAAGAGGATGACAATAATAGTGACAATGTTGGCAACGATATTGGTAATAATGATGGTGACGATGTTGCTGGCGAGATAAAGATTGATAATAGCTTACAGCTGGGAGAACAACATTTTTCCAGTAACTTTTATTGAAGGTTTGAGTGAATCATTGAATGCTTCATGATAAGATGGGTGGATGATTTTACATCGAATTAAATTAAAATCGTTAATTAACTTTAGTCAACCTGAAATGAAACAAATATGCTAATGAGGATGACAGTAAACAGGAAAATTGAAATTATGCAAAAAGTTTGAAAGTGTGAGCTCCAGTTTTCTCATACGAAATGCATCAACATGCATATGTAATCTACAAAAATATTGCTTCATTTTTTTTGTTTTTTCAAAGATTGCCAACTTAAAATGGTATTTTGACAGTTAATTCCATAAATTTAATACGATTGCGAAATTTACAAATAAAAATGCTTACTAATTTTAAAATAAACTAAGGTACTTTATACATAAGAATTTTTGATTTCGACGTAATATTTCACATTACAAATGTCATTCTCAATAAACCAACGAATAAGCATTGCTTTCATTAATTCTAATTAACAAACTCTCTTTTTAATGAGTGGACGCAGTGACCTGAAAAATGAGAAAAAATAGAAAGTGAAAAAGAAATAATCTGAGTAGAAACAAGAGGAAAACAAGGAAAACGGATATATATGACAGATTTTGCTACAATTACCTACAAATGAATCACATGCATATCTACAAAAACTGTACAAACGTTTCCGGTAAACATCAACCGTGCACAGACATATCTATCAGTTGATATTTCCGATAGACACATATACACTTACCCAACATACATAGGCACAAAAGATCGGTGAAGCTTACTTACCAGTTTTTATACCGGTGTCCATAGTAACCACTATGGGAACACTCAACATGCTTCGGCTAATACCTCTGCCGTCACATCGTCACCTACTGGAGCCTGAATTGAATAGGCCTGTGGGTGTTTCTTCTACCGGCTGACTTAATTAAGTGTCCTTCTTTCCTCTCACGTCATCGTCCCTTCCAACAAATTGCTTTCAAAAAAAAAACGAAAAAAAATTTTAAGGAAAAAGCATAAATTATGAATTAAATGTATTGATAAAAACTGAATCAATCAATGAAAAGATATTGGAAATTTAAAAAACAATAGTTGAATTTAATATTTATAAGTTTAGATTTCCTATTAATTCACTGCTATCTATTTTCCATTTATTTCACGTCTTTCTTACAAATTATTACTTTTTCTCCAGTTATTCTACATTTTTTTAAATTTATGAATCTTTGTGAAAATAAAATATCAGAAATGATATTTTATTTTTACAAAAATTTTTTCTAAGGTTTCTGAAAGCTCAGAGTAAATTTTTTTATTTTTTTTTTAATTCAATTGTTAAATTCCAATTTATTTTCCAAGAAGAATATAATGTCAGGAAAAATCTAAAGTTTTTTGAGAAAAAAATTCAGAAAGAATTCAGATAAAATCACCCCTTCGCATTCAGAAAAAATTTGATACCCCTTTATGCAATGTAACAATTTTGAAAACTATTACAGTGATTTTCATGATGCCATTAATTAAAAGGCTTAAAAGGAATTAAGGAAATTAAATTTTTGTAGATGTCATTTTTCTATAATAATCTCTACAATTCAAATTAGGAAAAATATTGATATATAAAACGATAATGTTTATAAACGATAATGTTATGAATAAATTTGTATCAGATATCACTAAGTTTTAACTTTTTTAAATCTGATAATCCTACAACAGAAAAGCAGTCAGTTGTGCATAGTTATCTATCAGTAATTTTGCTCCGATACTTTTTCTTTCATTCCAGTTAGCACAGCAGTAGGAAGTAACAAGATTGATGAAATTGCTTCATTTTAATGTGGAATCATAATATTAAATCTGGAATGATTACTAATTTAAAATGCAAATTTTATTTCCCCTTCTTGAATTCATACATATCAGATAAACAACTTAGACTAGTTAAAAAACGTCGTACGACTGCTAAGATTTAAAAAATATATTTGCATTAATACTTCATTTTTCAAAACACGAAAAAAAGAAAAGGACACTAAAGGTTCAGTTGGTTAGTAAATTGTTGTTAAGACTAAAAATTCGATAGCTTCGATGGCATTTGGTGACAAGCTTAGTTGAGCTTAAAGCGTTTTAAGTCGTTGTCATGGAATTTGCTATTGCAGATAGTCATTAATTGGAATTTAAAATTTCGATAATTTCATACTGAAATGATATTAACAGTTTTTAAACAATATAGTGCTACATAAAAGTTTAACTCAGCCTGTAGATTAATATTAATCGATATAACTTTTACATTAACTAATAATAATCAATTATCTATAAGATATTAATGATATGATTTTATTGATTACAATAAAAAAGAACTGTTGCTGCAAAAGACTTTTTTTTGTTAGAAGGTTGATCGGAAAATTAAAAATGAATATTGTTAGGGAAAAAAAATAACGGCTTGAATTATATGTTGAATTATGTGCTATCATGAAAAATCAGTCCTTTCATATTTCAATTCTGATAAAGCGAAATGAGCACAGAGAAATCAATTAAGGATATACTACACATATAAGGATCTGAATAATTAATTTGATTAAGATGCATTGAAATATTGATAAATTGTAAATAAGTATTTATTAATTAACTTTGCATAATTATGCCACAATAACACCGTTATTGTGGCATAATTATGCAAAGTTAATTAATCACATTTTATGGTTTGTTGTCAATTATCTCAAACAGTACAATAACGACAACAATTCATTTAATTTTATAAGCAGCAATAAAGAACAAAAAAAATCTCTAATATAGTTTTAAAAAATAATACGGAATTTTAAGGAGATGAATTCAATTTTCTATTTCCTCACTGAGAAATAAGATTCAATCGGACAGTTTTTCCTTGATTCAATTTTTAATTATTGGAAACGAAAAACTTTGAAAATTTGATTTTTTTCTACAGAAAAAATTATTCGTAATTTAGGAAAGTTGAAATGGCCTCAATGTTTTTTTGTTATCCATTAAATTTTTAATATTCATTGAAATTCAATTTCCTGGTTTTTTCCTCTGTATTCTCTCTTCCTCTCTTTCTCTCTCTTTCTCTCTTCCCGTGGTAAAAATATTATGCATGAGTGTTAGACATAAGATATAAAGAGTTTTATTCAATTTACAATAATTTTATGCAATTTATAAAAGGCCTCTGATAAAATGAATATTTTTTAACAGCAAATTTTACTTTCCGAAATTTTGTAAAATTTTTTACTATAATTTTCAATCAAACTTTATCAATTAAAAATCAGTTCGATTAATATTTCAATTGAAAATTCATTAATGTAATTATTAGTTATTACTTTTACGTATTAAACATTGCTACTACTACCTTTGAATGGTACTGTTTATTCATAATTTGACAGTATGCAGTATAACAAATACATTAGTGTTACATGTAAAAGAATTCAAAATCAATTGTGTCAGTTTAATTAGGGTCCTGTCTGCAATTATTGATTTGATTTAATGGTAATTTATCTCACTGTAAGTAAACTTTCCATTTAAATCCAAAGCGATTTTGGTAAGTATTTCAATTTAACTTTTAAATATCAAAAAATTTACCTGAAAAAACAAAATGAATTTTGATCATAAATAAAATTAATGATGCATGAAGTGAAATTACTTTCCTTAACTTTGTGATAAGTATACTTCACCCCTCACATTCTGTCTTACACAGTTAAAGCTAGCAAAGATTGTTTTATTTTATAAACCAATAACTTGATTCAGATTTTCTTCGAAAAAAATCTAAAGATTGAAAAAATATTCGGATGAATTATAAATGATGATTGGCTACGTTTTCATATTTTAGCCATATTTCTAGCTTGACAAACTAATAGCTGAAATATTCTCAAATTTTTATAATTGTTTAAACTTTTGGAGCATAAGAATGATTGTTTTCTTTCGAATTTAAAAATAGATCAGGATTTCGTAATCTACTTCTATTAATTGTGATTTTAACACAAAAGTTTAATGTATTTATTAAATTGGATTGTACACACACAAACACACATATGCTAATTTTGATCCGAATTAGAGATTACAGAAACCAATGAGGAAAGGATTTGTTTCTATTTCACATTGCTATGAAAATAATACTATTTGAATCACTGATTAAATCATTCATTTTAGATCAAAAATTTCAATTCGTCTTGGCTGGTCTATCATTTGGCCGCCTGGCCTGAGCAATAGATATAAGTTTTGTGATTGATTCTCATTAAATCAATCATTATATTGATAAAATATTTCTCTTTGATAACTCATTAAATTTAAATCACTTGTTAAATAATTTAGGCAATATCATGAGAAATTTTTGAAATTTTCTTTTTAAACAATTTACAATCAGTATATTCAGTGCGTCATGAGGAATTTTCAACTATAACACTCGTTTATTCCTAATCCATGCCATAATTAAACTCTTAATAAAATGATTCAAATTATTAATACTTCCAATACAACAGTTAATTAAAGCAATTAATCAAACATCATGATTCATTTAGAAAGCGCAAATGACTTTCTGATCTCTTTTTCAATCATTTTCCCAAATTTGTTTCTCTACTTACACATACAATCATTTTGAAAAACACTTTTATTCCTCGTTTTCTTATTTTGAGGACAAAGCACATTATAAATTTATTTTTCTTTTTAAATTACATACAGTTCTTGAAAATATTACGAATTTCAAAATTATTTCAACCATTATTATCAAAATTTTTATTTGAAAATATCAAATTTGCATAACTTTTTAAATTGTAAAATCATTCGGCAGTGAATTGTTAAATATCAGAAGAAACAAAAAAAAGAAAAAATGGAAAAAGGCAGAAGTTTGCTTTAGGAAAAAATTGTTCGTTTTAAAATTGCGAAATTGCTTCAATTCTGCATGAAAAAGTTTTAATTTTGCAATTTTCAATTTTATGAAGTACTCAGAGCTGCCGGAATTTCTAATCAAAGAATCGGTGTGTATTATCGTAAAATTAATAATTCGTTCAGCGAGTTTTTTTTTAGATTTAAATTAGAAATTTTGATCAGCTGTTCGGTAATATATTTTTCATACAAGTTTAAAATAATTCATCAAATTTCACAATAACGTTACATTGATTTGTTTTTTTAAATGTCGAATTCAATGGAAAAGCTAATCGTCTGCTAAAAGAATATTTTTTGTTTCGGCAAAATTAACAATGACCGAATAATTAATTAAATTGATTCACTGAATCGTCTGATGTTCGTAATGGAAAGGGTCAAGGTCAAGGGACTGTCGCAATGCTCTCTCACGCCACCCACCTGTTCGCTATGTTGGCAATATTTTTAAAAAGCATAACAAAAAGAAAAAAAAAATCTTGCTAAAATATTGACCAGAAATCTTTTTTAATAGATTAAGCATAACAGAAGAAATAATTTACATATGAACATGAGAATCAAAAAAATGGTTTATATGTGTACATAAAGATGGAAATTAAAAAAGAAATGGAAAAGAAATGAAAATAATAAAATAGCAAAGCCGAAGAAAACTATCTGACATTACCGTATGAAAAAATATGAGAGAAAATTCTGAAGTCTTCGAAATTTACTTTAAAATGGGAATATCATATCGGTGAGATGATTTCATTTCATTTATGTTTTCATTAGCATCTTTGGGTAAATGAAAATTTTCGAAATAACCTGTATGGATATGACGAATAATTTTGAAAAAATTAACAATTATTCAATTATGGGGAAGGAAAAAGAAAAAATTGAAATAAGAATTTAATTTAGAAGTGTGAAAAGTAGAAATAAATGAATAAATTCACTTGCATTTATTGGTTTATATTGTGGGGGATTTAAAATGATTACTGT